AGTTAGAAAAAAAAAAAAAAAAAAAAAAAAAAATATATATATATATATATATATATATATATATATATATATATATATATATATATATATATATATGTGTGTGTGTGTGTGTGTGTGTGTGTGTGTGTGTGTGTGAAATTTAAAAAAATTAAGCACGTGTATAATTTGTATTCTGCTGCTGTTTAACTCTTTTGAGTGTTTTTGTTGTTTCTTTTTATGTTTTATCAAGTCAAGTACAGCGCTGCCAGGCAAACCAAAGCGCACCGACGGGTTGAAGCCAGCAGGGGGCAGACGCAGACTACCAAAGAGAGAGCGAAAGCCAGCGTGCTCTCACTGGGGGGAGGAATTAATGAATGGCAAAGTTCTTATCACTAAGCATTCTTTAAAGCAGCACTAATTAATGGATGGAGTGATTAAGGGCTTTCATTAGCAAACCTTCAGCAAGATAACAGCTAAATAAGCCATTTGCATGCAGAAAGATTGGAGATATTGCGTGGAGAATGTATTAAGTCACTAGAGATTTCCACTTAAGCCTCAGGAACAAATACGACATAATTTGTTTTTTCTTAAATATGATGTTTCTTCAAATGAAGCGAGCGGATTTTGCCTTGAGTGTATGTTAAAGTGCAGCACAGAGGCCTACGCCGGCATGACCATAAAGAGAGAGAGAGAGGTATAATGGCGTGTATGAGCTGCCCGGTGTCTCCATCGCTGGTAAATATTAACAGAGAGCCGGAGCCCCTTGTGTTAAGGGCCGCTATAAATCAGCAGGAGTGAAGGCCACTCAGACAGCAGCAGGAGCCACCACGGAGCGGCCACGGCCACGGTGCGAGGAGGAGGCCATGCAGGCCGAGAGAGAGAGAGAGAGAGAGAGAGAGAGAGAGAGCGCTTTCCCAGGAAAGCGTGGGACCTAACAACGGCCTCATTATCAGCCTAATCACACACGGACGGGCTCAAACAGTACCACTGCTGCTCCCGGCTAATCATTACAAACACGCAGATAACTTCACACAGTGAAAACACACCGCACACACTGCTGGACCTGCGCAGGGAAGTCCCGCGTTTCAGCAAACAGAATTGTGTGCAGAAAAAAAATAAAATGCAGCAGATGTACTGCAAGAACTATTTAGTGATCTACTCCTAAACCCAGCAGAAATCCCAAATATTCTATTCTATTCTATTCTACTCTGTTCTATTCAGGCATTTCATATAAGTGATTACGTGGGAAAAGCAGAAAAGGCCCGAGATTAATACCAGAAGCCTAAAATCAATAAGCATATCACATCTGCTTCAGCACATGATCAGATTCTCCTAGCAACGGCCGGATCAATAGTGTGGGCCTAGATCTAGAGCTATTCTCTTAAAATGAGGTTAAATCCTCATTTTAAGAGAGAATATATATATATATATATATATATATATATATATATATATATATATATATATATATATATATATATATATATATATATAAAATATAATATAACTTTTATTATATTTTAATTTTTCCCAACGTCCATTCATTTGCACATTTCTTATTTGGATCGAAAACTGTCTATGAACCCTCCCGTGCTTTTTGGGCCTCACTGCCCGCACCTGTAAATTACACCTGTGGCCCTACCTGAGGGACAAATTCGACCACACGTCCATCGAACCGCATCTGACTCGACAAACTTCAGTCGAGTCAGATTTGGTTCTTCAGCTCCGGCCATGAATAAAAGTGTGTCCTAACACACTTTTATTTTCCCTCCCCACTTGTCTTAACGGGGTTAGTCTATTTTATTTATTTATTTATTTATTTATTTATTTATTTATTTATTTATTTATTTATTTTTAAGCCACGGCCAAAGCAATCTTCACCTGCTAAATTATGCATGATACCAACTCCAGCTGACATTCAAATCGAGTTTATCACCCACTCTCAGAAATAAATGAACACGCACAGACACACATACACTCTATTTCCTCTGTTTACAAGCAGAAGGCCAGCAGAAAAAAGAAGAGAGACGATAAAAGAAGAGCTGATCAGTTGCATCGACACCAAAATAAACACGTTCCTGTAACGATTTCTTGGAGAGGGATCGGTTTACGAACACAGTGCTGCGATCGATAGTTTGGAGGCAAAGTGACATGAGCACTTGTTTCACACGAGCCCAAAATGAGTCTAGAAACAGTAAAAATAATAATAATAATAATAATAAAAAAAGATGTCGGCGTAATGCTTTTTTTCTGCAATGATGAAGCACATCGATTATTACATGCTTAATCGGTTATAAACACATCGCTTTAACAACAACAATAATCTTGAAACTAAGTTTGGATTTTCTTTTTTTAATTCATAACCTTCAACATTGGGCATTAGATCATCTCTTCATGTCGTGAGGATCAGTCAGCCTGGAGGGAACCTCTACACTGAAACTGACCCACGTTGTTAAAATCAACCTCGTGTTTTTATAGTTTAATTAATAATCAGGCTGAATGTTACCTCACAGCACCACATGAGTTGCAAGCTGTTCAGCAAACGGGTCAAATGTTCTATTACATATCAATTTTCATAGCGGGTATTTGTAAGGATGAAAGTAATCAATCAATCAATCAATCAATCAATAAATCAATCAATCAATAAATAAATAAATAAATAAATAAATAAATAAATAAATAAATAAATAAGGGGAAAAAGGAGGTGCTTTACCGAGGCTTCGCTCACCTGCGAGCCTGAGCGCGCTCATGCGTTGGAACTCAGGCTCCTGCAGCCACTTCCACATGCGACGAAACGTCTCTCTGCCGGACTTGAGCTTCGACCAGGGTTTGGGGTTCCTCAGCAGGTCGGACAGGGTCCCCTGAGACCTGCACAGGACCCGCTGAGCAAAGATGGCCTGAGGGATGCTGTAGCGCTTCAGCTCCGTGGTGATCCTCTGCGCGACTTCTTTGGTATTCACCTCCTCCATCTGTCCCCCAGAAACACCACCGCCACCTCCTCCTCCCCCTCCTCCGCCGCCACCTTGGTGCCCAGGCCCGGAGGCCTGCTCCCGGTTGCTACCCAGTCCCTGGCCGTGGCCCTGCGCGCCGAGGTGGGCGTGCGGGTGATGATGCAAGCCGTTGATTTGCACCATCCCGGCGGAGGAGGTCATGTGCTGCTCGGCGTGTCTGCTGAGCATGGCCGGATGGTGAGCCTCGAACCCGCTGGGCGTGAGCATCTTCTCGCCGGGCATGGCGGCGCCGGGGTGAGCGTACGGAGGGATGCCAGCCTGAGACGTGTGTATGCTGGCCAGTCCAGAACCAGACAGCGGGGAGAGGCTCTGGCCCATGCAGGGGTCTTTGTGATGGTACGCGGGATACAGACTGTTCATGGGCGCCAAGCTGCGGTCCTCCCGCATCAACGTGAAGCTGCCGCTGACGTTCCCGGGGAGCCTCTGGTGCGGGTGCGGGTGCGGATGGTGGGGATGGTGATGGTGGTGGTGATGGGGGGGAAACTTGTCGGACACGGTGGAGATGGGGGGTAAGGGCTGCAGGGGGGTCAGGGTGGTGTAAGTGGTGCTCGCGCTCATGCCGTGGGGGGCTTCGCACATGCTGATGGCTGGATGCAGGTGTCCCGGGTGGCCGGGGTGATAGTCTCCGCTGTCCAGTAGGGTGGCCATGCCCATAGCGCGGTGGCCCAGACCCCGCGGGCTCGGGCGGGAGTGCGGACTGTGGCCGCTCAGCAGCTCTCCGTGGCCGGCGACGGACTCATGGCTCACTCCGTGCAGGTCGCCTATGTTCTCCATCGACAGCTGCGCGTTCATGATCCGGGCAGCGCTGTGGACAAACCATCTATCTGACCTACTGCCGTAAGCCGACGTCCAGGAAGTCCACGCGTCCAGTAAAGTTCAGTTTGCTTTTGTTGCTTTTTGGTGTCCTCCTTGCAGCAGCCTCCTCCTCTCTGTGTTACAATATTCGATTATTCTCCTACCTCTCTGCCGCCGCTCTCCAGGAATGAAATGTCTCTTCAAAATCTGTTATTTTTCTTCTTTAAATATATATCTAAATATTCTTGTATTTATCATTTTCTTTTTTTTTTTTTTTTTTTTTTGTTTTGCTTTTATAACCATATATTTTTTTCTTCTTCTTTGTAATTCAAGCCCCCCCGTCGCCAACCAGCTGTCCTTGCGCTCCGGTCGGGTGCCGCGCCATCTCTCTAGCGGTGTGTGTCCAGTCCCTGCTCCACCGCAGCACAGATCTCACCGTCTGCACATGCGCATTGTGTGCGCCGGTCTCCTCCCATTCTCTCTCTCTCTCTCTCTCTCTCTCTCTCTCTCTCTTTTTCTCTCTCTCTTTTTCTCTCTCTCTCTATCTCTCCCCACCTCCTCTCTCTAACATACACACACACACACACACACACACACCTCCACGTTGCTCTGACGTCGCGCACCTTTATTAAGGAAGGGAGGCATCAAACACTGGCCGTGGCAAGCCCTTTTAACATTTAATAGACACACGTGATGTTAGAGGATTTCCATGAATCCAGTGTTTCTAACCAACAAAAATGAATCTTCAGACATTTAGAAAGACATTCAACCTACAATCAACATTTCAGGTATCCCAAACATAAATGTTGCTGCTCGTTAATAAACCAGTATATGAAAGTTACTCTTAAATAATCAAGAATACGAATAGCAGACATAGCGCTGCTACTAGTTGAGGTTCCGATGTCCTAAGTTATATTAGTAATATCTGTAAAAAGTGATAACATTTGTGAAATTACGTTTTCTGAATTCTATTCTTACAAATCTACAATGACAACACTTCCTATACACTGTTGACATTAGCTTAATTACTGATGTCAATATTGGATATCTAAAATAATACGTGCCAATAATCATAATAAAGGCATTTGAGATCAGAGCTTCTACTCGTAAGAATTACATTAAAAAAAAACCCAAAAAAAACAACCTAGAATGACATCCTTCCCTGCCAAATCAGCATTTTAGACATTTCAAACATCACTGTTGTCAGACATTAGTAATAATTACAGTTAAGATTTTTTTTAAGAGATGCAAACTCCATCCATCCTCCCATTGTCTCTGAACATGGATCCTTGCAGGGTGGGGAGGTGGTGTCTACCTCTACCAGTCATTAGGCGAGAGGCAGGGTCACTGGGTGAGACACACTGGACAGGTCGTCAGTCCATCACAGTGCCACACAGACACACACTCATACACTCATACACACACCCACACACACATATACCTATAGTGCAATTTTAAATTGGAGAATTTACCCTAACAGTCATGCGTTTGGGCTGTGGTAGAGTACCCAGAGAAAACTCACTTATACATAAACACCATGCCAAGGATTCGAACCCACAACCTTCTTGCTGGAAGGCAGCAGGATAAGCAGATGCAGCTGCAAACCTAATACACACAATGAATATGAAATGTGCCTCATTCGTCTTGAGCACAATGATAGACTGTTTTTTTCCTATGTTTACTGTAATGAGGAGAGAAGTGTTTGTTTTTGCTAAGGGTAGCTGTTCTGTAGCTATCTGGATATAGCTGAAGTTGGCGTCTGCTTCAAGTGCTATACTAAAGGAGCATTTCAGCCTTTTCACTGAGTCTGAACTGAACTTGATCAACTCTAGTTCACAATTGTAAATGTTTAGACAATTTAAACCAGAACTAGATAACAGCACAACTAAACAGAGGGAGAGATTTAAACTGTAGGTCGACAGTTCAATGTTATTATTATTATTATTATTATTATTATTATTATTATTATTATTATTATTATTATTATTATCTAATTTTTTGGGGGGCCTGCATTAGGAACATTTTAACTTAGACAAGTACAGCAAAAATACCAAGTAAATACAGTCAGATGCAGTTTTTTGATTAAATCTTAATATGACTGTCCATATACCACTAACACTTTTATCTGCAGGCCTTATATTAATAGCAGAACTTTATTACGTAAATACGTCACCTCTTGTAATTAAGGGAATTACTATTATTATATTTCTAGGTATGGCTTGCTTTTTTAGAAAGTAGGGTTCCTTACGGGGATGAGACGTCAGACCTCCTTAAATCATTAACTGCAAATGAAGCGCACTTCCGGGTTCATTTGGAGTTGATTTTTAACCAGTTAAGTCCTGAATTCAAAATAATATATAAATATATATATGTATATTAAAACAATAAAATCGAATGAATCTCATTATTGTTTGGAGTAATAAGTTAGTGGGTAAATCTAGGCACGGTCTGTAAACTTTTAGCTTGAATGTGTGTGTGTGTGTGTGTGTGTGTGTGTGTTACATATGTCCATTCTTTGATTAGAGGCGAAGTTCAGCTGCAGCACCCCCCCCCCCCCCCTCCCACACACACACACACACTCCAGTGCAGCCAAATGCATGTGGCGGTTTAACCAAACGGAGAACACCGTGGTATCTTCCCTTTTGATACAAAGAGATGAGCAGGTGTGTCTATTGTTCAACCATTAGGCTTAACGAACCAAGCCCAGCATGGTGTGTGTGCGCATGAGCGTGTGTCCAATTTGCCTGAGCGCAGCACATCCGCTGTGCCGGAGGAGTCATTTGGTCTCCATGAGCATTCAGTTCACAATGATGTTAAAATAAAGCAGCGTGTTGTCACACAGTGAGGGAATTTGTTTTTTAATAATAACAGAAACTTACAAGGTGGGTTCATATCTGCGCATGCTCATTAGACGTATTCTCATTTTAAGGAGAGAAACGACATGCTGAGAAATACCAGGAGGCTCTGCAAAAAGTTTTTACCAGCCCTGATAAGAGCCCGGCCCCTGCCTATATAGCAACATGTCAGGGGAGGAGGGGAGGGGGTCTCGTTTGGCCTGATAGAGCGGTACAGTGCAGGGCGTCCTCAGCCGAGGTGACAGCTTGCAGCGGGCCAGTGTCCTTCTGGACCCCCTGCTGAATGAGGGACATGTCAAAGGTGACGCTTCAAGACTCCCAAAGCCAACATCTGCGGGGGGAACAGATTAACCTTTCAGACTTTTCACTGTTTTGGACCTGCTTTGGGGGCCCCACATCTGTCGGCCTCCCCCCTTCCCACCCCCGTTACAATGGACCCGGCACTTGGTTGAACGATTTGAATAAAAGAAAATACAAAGAGAGAGAGAGAGAGAGAGAGAGAGAGAGAGAGAGAGAGAGAGAGAGAGAGGAGGGAGAAGAAGAAGAAGTTAAACTGTCTCTGATGTGAAGTCAATGTCAATGGCGTGTGTGTGACGTGTGTCCAGACAAAGGGACTCTAATGCATCCAAGTGTGACTGTTCAAGCGTGTAGTAAAAAAAGAATGAGGGTGGGAGGGGGAGTGTGTGTGTGTATGTGTGTGTGTGTGTGCGCGTGCGTGGGGGGAGGGGGGGGTTGGAGTTTAGAGGCAGGTCTCAACAAGACCACAAAAACACAGCGGGTGTAATTACACAAGCACACCTCTGTTCTTCTTCATCGAAGTCTAGTCTCAAGAATAAATCAACCTGCAAAGTGAATACTACTATTGTTACTACTGCTACTACTACTACTACTACTACTACTACTACTACTACTACTACTACTACTAATAATAATAATAATAATTTGCAAATGGTTGTAATCTAACTTATTTCACTGGGGGCCTTCAGAAAGTTTTCAGAAGGAAGGAGGGAGAGGAAGGTGCTGGTAGCCTCAACAGAAACCGAAAAGGCAATCGAATCAAACTATTTCAAAACTGATAAACGATTACAACGATTGTTCGGTTTTAATCGGTGCCACCTGATTTAAAACAAGACAATAAAATAAATAAATAAACAAATAAGTAAATAAATAAATAATAGAAGCCTTCCCTCTTTAAAAGAATAAGAAAATGACAAACAGGAATAGATAAAAACAAATTGATACATGAAATATATATATATATATATA